AAAATCAGTCAAAAATGAGAGAAAATAAGTGGTATGAATACAAGTTCCCACATAAAGGGAAGGATATAAAGGAAATTACATCAAAAGAAATCAAATGAAAACTGAAAGAACTCATGTGTGCTTGGAAGTATTGGGGACATATGAAGTAGAAATGAGAAATATTTCAAAAATTAAGATGAGCCAGGAAATCAATCAAAGCTTGAGAGTTGTCACCTAAGCATGCATAGCTAAGCTATAGCGTATTGTAGTTTATACAAATAAGTGTCTACCCATGAGCCTTTGCGTTTGAGCATGTTTTTTTTTATCTATCATCGCTAATAGCTATTCCTATGTATGCACAGGTGACAACCAGCTCTGCTTCAAACATTAAGTTTTACCTAGATTTATACTAAAATTGATTAACCATTTAATAAATAGTGCATTACAAAAATTAAGTATGCAGAGAAACTGAAATCAAAACCAGTTGTACCGGGGTACATGCCTATTAAAATTTATTAAACTTGTAAATGTTTGCTTAAAACTACACAATAAATGCTGTCGATATCAACTCAAGATTTAACACTAGCACCATTATTACTACAAAATCTCACTATCAGTGTTTCATTCTAGCTCCAACCATGGTCTTTTAAAAAAATACTGACACTTGTTTTCATTCCATCAGATAATATCTTCATTCTCTTCGCTATTGAAATCATCCCTGAAATTTGTATCAAGTTCAGACTGTTTTCTTTTTAGCTTTTTCTCCTGCACACAGGATGTGTTTATAACAGGATTCGTAGAATACATGTACACTGCATAGGATACCACTCCGATGGCGACAATAGTGAATATATCGATTTGAATATCAAAGATAATCCAACATAGCACCGCTGTAAACATCAACTCGAGTGCGCTTGCAAATGTTTTTAAAATAGAATTGAGGTTCATCAGAAACAGACTAGTGACTATACCTATGGCTGCATAGTTTAATATAATTGCTATAACTTTCACTTGGAAGATTGATTGTAAACTACTTGCGCTGAAGGCACGAGAAATGCCGCCGATACAGCTTAGCATAAACAGGTTACACACAATGGAATCACAATACATGAAAATATTCTGCACCCAAATGCTGACTGAACCTTCTTTACCTTTGAGAAGATACTCATTATAGACTCCCGCAAAGCATGAACAGAATATCTGAACAAGCATAAGGAGAATATTCTTTCCAATATTGAAACTGACGGATTCGCCACCGAATGATACCAAGTCTTTCATCGTAACATCTTGCTTGAGGTGTTTGATAACGCATCCTAGTGTTAGAAGTAGTAAGGAAAACCACTGTTTAGAGCTCAGAACTCGATTGAATAAAAACTGCAAATGAAAGAAACAACATCTATGGGTTGGTATGTAAAGAAGGTTATATTGGAATGCATTTGCAAGTAAAATCAAGTCCAACCAAACAAGCCTCTGGAAAATAACACCTAATTATTATTAAATTTTTTCAGTCAAGCTGTGTTATAAATAAATAAAAACATTTATTTTGTTACATGTATGCATCCAGGGAGCTGATTTTTATGTTCATGCCTGCCAACTTTCCACAGAATCATATTTCTACTAGTGAAATACACAACGCAATCACTCAATCAGTACAGTACATTGTCAAATGTTAATCGATGACCATAAATTGTTACAGACAAGCTGTTATTATCTTTATGTCTTTACAGTGCATGTCTAGACCAGTGGGATCTGATGATTATGATATGACTGTCAGAGATTTGTACAAAAAATATGAACCTAAATACACACAACTTTGGCATAATGAATTCTTGAGTTATTGAGTGCACTGGAGTTATTGAATACACAGTTATTGAGTGCACTGGAGTTATTGAATACACAGAGTTATTGAGTGCACTGGAGTTATTGAATACACAGTTATTGAGTGCACTTGAGTTATTGAATACACAGAGTTATTGAGTGCACTGGAGTTATTGAATACACTGGAGTTATTGAATACACAGAGTTATTGAGTGCACTGGAGTTATTGAATACACAGTTATTGAGTGCACTGAAGTTATTGAATACACAGAGTTATTGAGTGCACTTGAGTTATTGAATACACAGAGTTATTGAGTGCACTGGAGTTATTGAATACACAGAGATATTAGGTACACTTGAGTTATTGAATACACAGTTATTGAGTGCACTGGAGTTATTGAATACACAGGGATATTAGGTGCACTTGAATTATTGAATACACAGAGTTATTGAGTGCACTGGAGTTATTGAATACACAGAGTTATTGAGTGCACTGGAGTTATTGAATACACGGAGATATTGAGTGCACTTGAGTTATTGAATACACAGAGTTATTGAGTGCACTTGAGTTATTGAATACACGGAGATATTGAGTGCACTTGAGTTATTGAATACACAGAGATATTGAGTGCACTTGAGTTAATGAATACACAGAGTTACAATGTATTGAATACATGGAGATATTAAGTGCACTTAAGTTATTGAATACATAGACTTACATTGAGTTATTAAGTATAATTGAGTACGATGACATGAATAAAATATGGTGCATCATACTTACCTGGAAAATTATTCCAGTGACGACAACTCGAAACTGAAGTAGCAGATAATAGGTGGTAGGATCATACACGGCAAGATTTACAAACTGTAAATTATTGTATAAGCAGTAAAGACCCGCTGGTACAAAATATAAAACAAATACTGAAATGAAACACAAAATCTGGGTTAATAAGGTTAAAATTCAAATATTTTTTAATACACAAATGTTGTCTATTAACACCTCAATATACACTACTGAAATATTCATTTGTATA